CCCTAAAAGTAAAGTAAATAAAAATATTTAATAAATGATTTAATAAATAAAAATATAAAAAGTTTTATAAAAAATAAAATATTTAAAAAAATTGAAAAAATAAAAAACATTTTCGGTTTCGGCCTGACATTTTTTTTATTTCGGTTTCGTTTCGGTTTTAAAATTTCCATTTTGGTGCACCTCTAATGTACATCAAATGATTAACACAGATGCAGACTTCCTAGCTCCAAGGATGGGATCATGTCATAAGAACAGGGTGGTTCCACAACTATCATGTCTTCCAACCTGTTCTTGGACATTCATCATCTCCCTTGACACATTCTATGGTGAATAGATTACAGTTTCAGTGTTATCTGTATAAATGCTGGGGTATCTTCCTGACACTCTTTCTGACACACTGAAGAAGTGCTTGGATAAGCTATGAAATATACTCAACATTACTGAACAAGTCCAGTTGAATGTGACTAACTATTACTAGCTATGCTAGAAATGTTATCTTACAAAAAACCATATGAAATGTCTTAAAATGGGTTAGCAGAAACTCCTGGACTGGGACATTTAAAGTGCAGCTCAAGGCAAAACTTTTTTTGTTCATTTTGGATAGATTGGAGAAGGTTTCTGTTTCTGTCTTGTGTCCCTGTTGGAGATACCCTCTCAATTTGTCCTCTGACAGTTATCAGTGACAGAAAACCCGAAATTTTGGGTTGTCACCAGAACAGGAACTGTTCCAATGGCAACACTAGTTCTAAAGACCCTGCTGCCCAACAAGGATTCCCCTCACTTTGGAGGAATTTCCTCTTGCTTCCTGTTGTAGCCATCGAATAAGAAGTAATAGGACAGAGATGACAAAACCTGTCCAAAACTAAAGTACATTTTGGCTTCTGCTTTAATCTTGGCTATTACCCTCTTGCACGTCTTTCCATTCCTGCTTTTATGGATTATTTCATAAAGATGCAATTTTAATCTAATTTATTCCAGTCCAAGAGTGACAAATATTTCACATGGCAACCTCAGACTTCGGCACCCAGAAGAATGCAGTTTAGTGTTTCATATTGGCATGATGGATATCATCCTATTTAAATAAAGTGTCTCTGACATTTAATACACTTTATTTAACAACACTAACAAGTCTACACTTTATTTTATTATTTTAAATGCCATAGACGTTCTGAAAAAGTTTGTTAATGGAAGTTGTAGTCTTCCTATCAAAAAGAACATTTCTCTTATACGAGTTGCTTTAAACATAACTTTTTAATTAATTTTGTATACAATCTACAATAAGTTTAAGTGCCTCGCATGCAAAAACAAGGCTCTCTTTGGTTGTTTCATTTACATATACGGTTGTTGACCGGTGGTGACTTTAAACCATTTACACTATTCAATGGAGCTTCCCCAGGTCCTGCCCAGCATTGTGAACAGTGTTTATTTACTGTCACCTCCAATTACTCTAAAGCTGACTTCAGGCTTGTGTCTCCAGACACAAATGAATGAAAGCCCTGTAGTCATTATTACATCATTATTGTATGTTTTAATGCAAGCAGCGCATGTACCTGATTTTTGACCTGGTATCAGTCTTTTCCTGTACAGCAGAGCTCAGATTGGTGGAGGAGGAAGTAGCACAAGGATCTATTTAGTTCATGTACTAACAAGTAGTATGCTGATAAGAGAAGTGGGGACAGGGAGATAAACTGATTATTTTTTTCTTTTATTGCCCAGTCACAACCTGGGGATGGGAAAAATACCTGTAACTGCTACTTAAATGCTGTAAATCCAGTCTCCTCCCCTGCCAGGCAGGTTTGTGCTGTGTGCCAGGGATGTATAAATCTTAGAACTGTACATGGATAGAAATACAAATCCTTTGGGAGATAAAACCCCATATAATGTGCTTTATTTGTGTATTCAGCTGGTTGCCTGGAATTGAGCCTTAAAGTATATCTAAGACCAAATCTTTTTCTTTTAGAGTAGAGAATGGTTAGAATTTTTTTTTTGTTTAGCTGTCTTTGTCCCAGGAAAATTTCCTTTTACCTTCTCTCCTTGACACAACAGGAAGTTGTCCTTTTTGTCACTGGAACAGTGTCCTCGTAGTAGGAATTCTCCTTCATGCCTGTCCCCGTGACAACCTTGTCATTTAGGATTTCCCATCATTTTCTGTTCAGCTGACAAGGGCAAATCGGTCAATCTCTCCCCAGCGGAGATGCATACAGCAGTGAAACACTGAAAGAGCTTTCATATAAGTGCATTGTGCGTTCAAGTTGTTATGACTGCATTCATTGTATATAGCAATCGGCTAAATGGCTTCCTGTAAATATGAAGTTGTTTCGGTATTTCCTAAAGAATTTTAAGACTTTGTCATTGTGTCTGCATTCCAGGTTGAAGAAGCAAGAATCAATATTCATGACCCAGAGCTGAGGAAGGTGCTAAACCCAACCACAGCTGACCTCCGCTTCATTGATCACTTAGTAAAACATGTTACTGAAAACCGGGATGATGTTTTCCTTGATGGCACAGGCTGGGAGGGTGGTGACGAATGGATCCGGGCACAGTTTGCACTTTACCTTCATTCTTTGCTGTCTGTTACCACGCAACCAGGTAATGCAACTGTAAGTTCTCAGTAGTGCAAGGACAATGGTGCTCTTATGTTTTGTTTATTAAGGTTAAAGTACTGTATATCTTCTCAAAACATTAGATATGTATATGTCATCATTTATAACTAAAATACAAAAAAGGGGTTTATTAATAATCTTTGGATAGTGGGCAGTGACATGCAAATCATTCCATTATACCCCTATGACCAACTGTGCATTAAGGCTTATATAGCACAGCATTTGCAGAGTCATTTTTGCATGTGATTACATCTCTTTTACGCTTTTATAGTTCTATTCAAATTGGGGAAAAATGACTGTTTACATTTAGTCTGTATTTGTGCTAAAACCTACCAGTTGTGGGTGCACATTTAGCAGTATGAACGACTTATTTTATTGCGTCTGCCCACTGTCTTAAAATGAAGAGTAAAACCCTGGATAACCCAGGTGTCCGAATCCTGTGTCCCCCAATGAACTTCCAAGATTTTACAGGGTGTACAAAAATCATATTGAAGTTCAGAATGGGTGACAATTACAGTTCCCTCCATCAGTACAGTAGAAGCATGAGGATTACCAGGTCAAAATAAAGTTAAACAAAAAACTGATAAAAGACAAACTCCAGGGAATTGTTTTTTAATCTGTGCAGTGAGGCTACCCCCGCATTGCAAGGGTTAAGTTCTTGTTTTCTTCTAGGTACAAAAATAAAAAAGTTATACTCGTGCCAACCTCCTACAGCGCTCCTTCCAGCTTCTCTCCTCCTATGCTGCAGCGGGGTATGCCCCTCGGCATCTTCACTTCCTATAAACAGTGTATAGAACGTGATGACGTCGCGACCTTTGACCACTGCAGTGGCGGGGAGAGGCACTGGGAGTACTCCAAGGATCGGGCGAGTATAAAAAAATGTTTCCACCTAGACCAAAATGAGCATTTAACCTTTTCGGAGCAGGGGTAAGCCCACTGCAAGGGTTAATAATTTTTTTTCTCTAGAATTCTTCTTTAAAGGAAACTAATTCTGGCAGGACAAGGACAGGTGGTAAGCTGCAATAATGTTTAGAAACAAATAATAACTAATGCAATGTGTTACCTATTCCAGCCATCCATTCCAGGGCCATTACAGTGTAGCAGATGTGAAGTTAAGGCTTTCACAGTAAGTATCCATAGTTCTGTAAACAGTATTAACATGAGCCTATAGAGTTTTTTTTTATTTTTATGACACACACATTATCAGGTTGGTTTTCTTGTATGCGGTTACAAATGACTGACAGTTGCTTAATAAATGTTCTGAGTAGCATGACCTAACATTATCTTCTTTTAAAGTTCTGTACAGAACAGTGAGAGGGGCAAGAAGATAGGCAATGCCGTTGCTTCTACTAGCCGCAATGTGGTACAGACCAGTAAAGCTGTAGGTAAAAAAAATCACAGTACTCCTCCCATGCAGCAGTTTGCTTTACAAATGTGTATTGAGCAAAATGAAATGATTGAGGTTGTAAACAGGAAGACAAAAAAACCCAAAATAAACCTGGAGGTGAGCCTGGTGTTTAGAGCGCACGTCAAGAACGAAGTGACAGAGCACATGCACATTTCTTATGCATCGCAAATTAAATGCTGCTGTTATGTGTAATCTGTTTAAAATTATATGCACTTCATGCGTGGAAAAAGCAGAGAAGGTGACTGAGCATCATAAATTCTGAATTAGTAAAGGACACCTCTGATGAGATACATGGAGGCTGCCACTGCTGACCATGTGAAACTGCTAGTTTCCTGGCTGTTATACTGACCTTTTTTACTTTAATACTTTAATTTGCAAGAAGTAGGGATTTGTTTTAGTGGTGACTAATGGCAATGCAAGAAATGTACAAATAATTTTTAAAAAATATAATTTATTTACCACTTTTGGGTCCATATTTTCTTTGAAATAAGTAAAAAAATTTTGCATATCTCCTGGTTTTTTTTTAAAAGTACTTTTAATTTTCAAGACATATGAAATATTTTTGTGTAGTGATTTATTGCAATGCCAAATAAGTTTAAATAATTTTATTTTTTTACCATTTTGGTCCATATTTTCTTTAAAATAAAAAAAACAGGAGATATCCATTTACGTTTACCACAAAATAAAGGCCCAATTTGTCCTGAACAAAAAACATATAATTCACCGAGATACACAAAGTACCTGCAAAGATTTGTACAGTTTTACTAACACATGCCATAGTTGCAAGCCTGGATTCAGGTTTGTTTTACCTTGATCATTTAAGGGGTTAACAAGCTTTCATAGTGGTAGACCCATCTTCCTTACTTCTAGATTTAAGTCTAACATTATTGTATCAGACTGAGGACATTATATTATGACAATATGTACACAGTGATAATTTAAAAAATGGATGGACAAGTTGCTTGTTATTTACCTGGGTGATGGCTCCATAATGCGTAGAAAACTCTTATAGCCTACAGCTAAAAACGTAACCAAATCTCTTTGATCTTCTGCAGGTCAATCAGTTGGAGGAGCCCTCATCAGTGCAAAGTCAGCCATGTCCTCCTGGCTTTCTACCTTCTCTCAGCTAGGAACCCCGGAATCCCAAGAAGAGAAGCAGTGAATATAATATTTGTTCTCTATGACCATTGCCTTTCTCTGGATGTACAACACATTTTCTCCGTTTCAGACCAGTTTTGTCCTAACAAATGAACTGTGCTGGTCGTTCCACATAAGAACACATACTGAAATTGGATTAATAATGGTTAATGAAGTTGTCTTTTGTATAGTTTACATTGTACATGTTCTTTTACTCGGTGCGTAAATCAATTTAATTTATTTTCACACTTGTAACTCAAGATGCGTTGTTAATTGTAAAAAAAAAAAATATACAGCACAATTTAGCTTGGGAATGATGGCTAAAAACACTTGGAATGTTTAAGCATGGAGGGGGAGGCTGTGAAATTACTGATTTTTCTTGTTTGCATGCAAAACAGGCTTGAAAAATGATTGTCTGATGTCCAAGATATCTACGAGCAGTTTCCATTTGTATCCTGTTACAGAGCCGGGTATTTGGCATTTGCTATATTCCTCAGGGAGGAAAGTCTGTTTGTTGCAAATTATATTTCAAGTAGTGTCCTGCTCATTTATGTTCACTCTGTGAATTGTGGAAATGTTCGCAGAGTAAGCCCTGAGCACCAACATTTACTTGTAGCCCATTGCTTTTCATTCACACTGTACGCCTGAGAAAACCCTACTATTGAAAAATGCCCAGCTCAGTGCACAGACCTGAGTTGAAGTAACTCCCATATGCATGCTTGGCCAATCAAGCAGTTGAAGTCTCCAAACCTGTAAGAAGATGGAAGCACTGGAGGGAATCGGTTTTGCAGGTTAATCTGCCATAATGTGCTAATATGCTGTGCATACTGGTACAATATGGCTAAAAGCTCCAGCCCCCCTCACCCCTTCTTCTGCAGCTCCCCCAGCCAAAAAGACTTGTCTTGCCTTCACTCCCATGCCTCTCCATTCAGCTGCTGGGAGCAAAAAAAAATAACCAGTACATATGGGTATAAAGGAGCATGTGACTCGCTCCACTGTGACATTATTAGGGATTGTCACAGGAGGTTGAGGAGAGGGTGCTCAGCCCTGTGTAATCTCTGATTTAGGGCCTGTTCACATGAGATCAGGTCCTGATCAGCAGACGTGGAGCTGCGGATGCATTGCGTTTTTGGCCGCGTTTTGGATGCGTTCCAGCAAAAAAAATGTTTGTTTTTTTTTTTGCTGGAGTGGGGCTGTTAGTATGTTAGCTGCAGCGCAGTGCGTTTTTGATGCGTTTTTGACGCGTTTGCGTATCCGTTTCCGGACCTGACAAAATGTGACATGCAGTATTTTTTCTGTCGTAAGCTGAACGGACTGCGCACGTGAGAACTGGAGCCCATAAAACACATAGGGATACATTGGGATGCATTTTGAGTGCAGCAGCATACGGAGCCGGTCAGCACACAAAACGGACGTCGTGTGAACAGGCCCTCAGAGTTACTCGGAGCATACAGAGGGCTTCTATACATGGTTGGCGGCAGCTGAACAGAACAGCATAAAAGCAAAGGCATTGGGAGTATCTGCTCCTGCAAAAAGCTAGTTTTGGAACACACAGGTTTGCCAGGAGCAAATGAGTCATTAAAACACAAAGTAGATCAGCCATTTTCCAAACCTATTCATCATTTTCATATGGTGCTTTTTGCACAGCTTAGACGGTAAAACAGCATGCTTTGTTTTTTCTAGTGATTTATTTCAGTAGCTTGATCAGTGTTTCTTGCAGTTTTTTTTCTTAACAGCCAGGCATTATTCTGCAATTAAACTGCATTGGTGGTAATCTGCTGCTGAACTCTGTCATTATGGACTTGTCCATGTTTTACATAGACAATATTTAATATATTAATATAGCCTGTATAGACAGAGTTGTGGAAAGTTTACTTCTAAGGAAAGTTACTATAAATTTCGGATGATTTCCCAAGTTTCCAACTTTACAATCATGTATTCAGTACAGAGTGTCATCTCCCTGTTCTTAACCTTTTCTCTCCACGCGTAACCAAGACCGTTCCTTCTGGCTTGTCGGTTTATACATTCCAACGAGTCCCATTTTTAAAAATTGTATATGCCCTAGATCTGTCCACATTCTTTAATGCCACTCATGTGCAGTGAATACGTTGTGTGCTTCAGCCTTGTTCATTTAATAGGGATGTAGTAGGCAGGGCTGTCTCTCCCCGTCAGCCCATGCATAGAGACACTGGAGCAGTTATATACAATAGTATTGTATAGTTCCCTGTTAATTTGCTATATCCATGGTGTCCTTTAGAAGAGTTGGAATGTTGGTGGGCAACATATATAAATATGTCACTGGCTGCAAATTTGTAGTGGCCAATACGGTGTGTATTTTAACAGCCTGCACAGGTACTATTTGCTCAAATAAAAAGAAGAGAAATGCATAGTGAGCACTGAAGAAAGATCTTGTTAGAAACTCCTAACAATTGATATGATGATCTCACTCCCTCTTGCATGAAAAGAACAAAGCTGACCTCCAGGCAGATGCACAACACAACTGATTGATTAAATCAGTTACATTTAATCTAAAACCTGTCTTGATAACAATAACCTGTTCAGCTGCACCCAAACCTAGACAAGGAGAGCCAGCAGCAGGAGGCTCACGGGCTTTCAATCAGTGTATATGTGAGGTGTGGACAGGGTACTCGATCTAGCTGAGTGGTGCCGGGACTGACTAAACATCTGTCATTGCAGCTGACAAGACAGTGTCTAGTTCAGGAAGCAGTCCCGTCCCTGAAAGTCTGGTTGTTGCAGTTCTCCTTCGATCGCCACCGCCAGACGTTCTATACACCGCAACAACCAGACTTTCAGGGACAGGACTGCTTCCTGAACTAGACAGTGTCTTGTCAGCTGCAATGACAGATGTTTAGTCAGTCCCGGCACCACTCAGCTAGGTCGAGTACCCTGTCCACACCTCTCTGATTCCCGTCCACACAGGAGTAACACGGAAGGTCTCCTCACACTGCCCTTCCTCCCCCTTCGGTCCCCCGTTCTACACTCTCCAGCCGTGGCAGGCATGCCCTGACAGCACACCAGCCACGAGACAAGATCACTAATCCTGGTATCTCCGATCCTCCTCCACGGCCCTTCCTTCTAAACGTAAGTGTACATTCATTTTGCAGATTGGGTCTTCTGCACATTGGTCTAGTTTTACGTTAACCACCCACTCCCCAAGTTTTGCGCCCCTTTTGTGTTTTACATTGCAGTTCGCACAGGTCCTCCTCCTGTTTCTCAGGGCAGCACACTGTTTAGTCCGGGCCCCCTTCCAAGAGCGCTGTTGTTTTTTGTATTTTTTGTTGTCAACCCATGACTACTTTATTTCTGATGGATGACAAAGAACACCAACCTTGCCTCATCTTCATAACCCCTCTTTGTGCACAGGAAGTTATCACCTTACAAGATTTCTGGCAAAATCAACAGGTAGTTTTTGAACTTGTCAAACAGATATGACAAAAAAAAAACCTGTCACTGCCATATTTAGCACACTGCTCAGCATGTTTGGTGGTGTCTGAGTCCTGCTGTGGAGGTTTCAGACCTGAACACGGTTTCTGGCACAGAGTAGCTGGATTAAATGACTGCAGAGACCTACAAATCTGTAGGCAGGAAAAACTGTGACCTTATACAATATCAACTCCAACTGTGTAATTGACTTTACTGAGTCATGTCATTAAATGAATGGAGCTAATTGTGCAGCCGCTGCCTTGTATTTATGTGATCACTGTGCATTGTTATGTTAAACAGTTTTTTTTTTTTGTTATTTTTTTAAACCATTTATTTTGATGGGTCCACAACTTTACATACTCGTACATCCAGAAGCACCAGCTTCACCAAGGGCAACAATGAAGTGTTTTTTGTGCTGTCAATATCTGCGGACTATATGAAGTGTGTTCACAACATGATGATTGTATCATTAAAGTATGTACACTCATAAAGGAAATCTAACATCATAGCTTGGCCTTTTAATATATTCAGGGATATTGAGTGGTGTTGGAGATATAATTTATTTACATTTTGCTCTTCTTTTTTTATTTGTGTTTACAGAGCGGTCAGCATAGGTCCAAGCCAGTGTAAACATTGCTTTGTTTACAGTCAGTCTATGTCTGCATTGAAGTAAAAGTCAAGCAGTGTAAACATCAACAAAAGTAGCTACTTCACATACCTGTTTCATTCAGGTTTTTCAGTGCCTGAAGTCATACATGATGATTTCCATGCAGTGCCTGATTACCAACTGCTTGAAGACAGCAGCTTTTTCTTATGTTTAACTAAGCACTTCCTATCCCCATCCATAATATAGTGAATTCAGACAGCCAGTAGTAAAAAGCAACATACCAGGATCCCGATTACCTTCCTTGTTTTCAGTCCTGGTCACGAGACATGTGTTCTCTCTCCAGGTAAATTCATACTAGAGAGCTGTTTGTGTCTTGCAGTTTGTGATCTGTTTCTGCAGGCATTACATTAGTGCACTATTTATTACACCTGGACAATTAAGATATTGACTCAAAAGATGTGTAGATGTCATCCTTATTGACTCTAGGCCTGGTCTGTAGTTAGGCTGGTCATTTATAGTCAGCAGAGCTAAAGGAGAAAAACCTTGATTTCCCCTATCCACACTAAGGGGGAGTTCCCCTGCGGAGCTCTTGTATTCTGACAGCGGCAGGTGTGCCGAGAATTTTTGAGACCGGCTCCTTTGGCAAAAGTCAATTGATAAATCAACTTTTGTCAAATGGAGGCATGCCTACCCGACTCGACCATAGCTGACTCGGGCGAAATGTAACCAGTGTATGGCCAGCGTTACAGTGCAAGCTGCATGTCAACAAAGCAATTGACTTTCTAGGCCTGGGATGACAACTCGCAAAGCACAAAAAGAAAGGCAGAAGATGTTATATTTGCAACATTGCTTACATTCCTCCTATTTTTGATTTTTTTTTTTAAAGAGCTAATGTGTTTTAAAAGTTCAGTTATGCTTATTGATTTTATCTTCCAACAACAATATTGTATATATCTGATTTTCCTTGTTGCTGCCAGGTTCTCCATAGCACTGCATGAATCATGCTTTTTACCCATACTTTGATCAATACTGCTTTTCTTTTAGTCCTTGTACATGGGGACCTAACTGTAAATATTGATATGCTTTGTTCTCCCTAATAGTGATCGATTTTCTGAAACTGCTGCTAGAATTTTTGGGGGTTTATTGTTTTCACTGACATTTTAGCAAGTATAGTTTTTGTTTTGTTTTTTGA